CAAATAGAAGAAAGATCAACTACCCCAAAACCCCACAGATATATAAAAGAATTTCAACAAGCAGAGAGATTGAAATTTTTCATAATAAAATATAAATGTCAATGTAAAAGGTGAATCGAGATATAGCAAGCTAAGAAAATGGAAATTACTATTCAAAATAATAAAATAATAATCATTAGTAGCAGAATTCAATTAGCTCTGGGTCGTTCGCTACATCATCTATAGCTGCTATGAGTGCTGTGGGCAAGGGTTCATTTCAAACTGAAAATATTGGGCATTATAAAGGGAATCATAATTATAATTCCAATAATAATCATCACGGTAATTCTAATGCTCATCCTGTAATTATCAAGATTGGATCACTCCGAAGATAAAATACGACACAGTCAAGTAAAAACACCCATGCTCTAAAAACACAGTAAAGCAAAAAGAACCGAAAGAAGATAAAAGCTGAAGATGCAATTAAAGTAGATCATTTGGAAGTTAATGATGCTAATAAGTAACAGCAAAATATGAGAGGAAACGAGCAAGGCTTAATCTAGGAGCTGCACAAAGAAACATATCAGACCCTTGTAAAGATTAATGCAGAACAGTTTGCAAGTACTATAACTACAGCCATTGAGCACTTTTCAGCTAATTATGGAGAAACTCTGAATATGAAAACAGCTGTAGAATACGCCCCTAAGTTTGACTATAATCTGCTTGAGAAGGAAAACAAGGAGTTGCATAAACAGTATGATCCAATCAAGAAGGAATTGAAGAAAGAGAAAAAGAACAACAGGAATGTCTAAATGAAATATGACAAGCTGATGGCAAATGTTAACTATACTAAATAATTGAAAAAAAGGTATGAAGTGAAACTTGAGGGACAAAGAGATCAACTCAAGGAACTGTAGTTTTACTATAATGATTTGAAAGAAGCCACTGAAAGAGAGAGAATATCCAGAGAGAATCATGTTCTAATCTTCAAAAGAATTATCAATAAGTACACTTTTCATTATATTTTATATATCTAGGATTGAAAATGAGAGATCCCGCTATTCCCAACAAAGTGTGAGGCAGCTACAACAGCAAATGGAGGAATTCCTTTAGATTGCTGATGGCAAAATGATACCTAAAAACATGAATGAATACATATTTAAGGGACCTGAGTAACCCAAAAAGACTAAGACAAACAATTAGAATACAGTGGATACATCTATTCAAGCAAGGGACAATCCTCCAACCACAACAAATAGAACAACAAAAAAGGAAGATGATCCTTAAAAGAGCGATAGAACCATTGATATTGCTTTTGACTATATCAAAAGACTTGAAGCTGAATTGAAAACTAAAAATAATGAGCACTAGTTCTTGAAGTCAAGGCTTGAAAAAGCACTTGAAAAGAAAGCTCATCCAAGTGTTGGATCTTGGCAGAACAGTGATGTGGACATCTTAGCTTAAAGAGAAGATGACTTTGAAAAAGGAAATTACCCCAATTCTAATGATAGGCATAGATATTACAATCCAAGTTTGGTTCAATCTCCATAGCCAACAGAGAAAAATCCTCATCTTTTCAATCTCAAATTGCCAATCTAATTCTTGAGCAATGGTGATCAGCAAGTTAACAACTATATGAATACTGTTGGAGGTAAACCTAATAAAGACATTTTATTAAACCTAAAAGCTAGCTAAAGCAGCGCTTAGTTGAGACCAAAGACTGCTATCAATAGAAAGGAGTTGACTACTCAGAAATCAGCACAAGCTAACCTATTCAGCACTCAAACAAATCAAAATAAACTTTAAACAATGGTGAGTTCCCCTGATGATTTCAGAAAAACTAATTATCAATCTACAAATGCAGCTAGTACTATGAGCTCAAAATTTAATTTTAAGTCTCCTCAATAACAGTAATTCAATAGTAACTTTAACACTTTACAAAAAAGTTAGTCTTAGGCTTAATTTGCTGAGACATAGTAATCTAAATCAGTAGCCTAGTTAAGACCATAAACAGCGCATAGAAATATAAACATTACTATTCCTTTAAAAGCTAATGGTAATGGTATTATAAATCTTAAAAAGGCAGTCAAGTGAAAATATTCCTATATTATTAATAATTATTCTGGAATAACATTACTCCTGAAAATCTAATTATAATACTTGCGGGGTTTTGGGGTTTATAATACCATTACCATTAGCTTTTAAAGGAA